GGTTCAAACCCACCAGCCACTCCTCAGAAGGAAGGCTGGGCAATCCTACTTCCGTAGTGATACTGCCTTGGAAACCCAAGGAGGGGTCGCTAGGTGTCAGGGCTGACTCGACGGCACATAACAACATAAGTTGCTGAAGGCTAATAATCTGATTCTACCAGAACTAGCTTAGTTTAAGGAAAGTTTGACAGCTAGAATACTATACTTACCTCTTGATTTCTTTGCATTTGATTTTCTATGATACTTAAAAGTTCATTTTCTAGAAACTGTTTTTCTGAATTACTATTGCTTACATCTGAAAAACTGCAATGTTGTGTTTCTTGTGCAGGTGTCACAGAATTTACATTTTTTCTGTCCACAACAGCACTGTTCTCCATTACTGGACTCTGGCTGGGCTATGAAAGAGTAAGACACATAGACACTCAAAAGGAGTTAGAGAATTACTTAAAACCAAAAGAACGTAAAAGCTGAACATGGTAAAAAACATTAAGTCAAACTTACTTACATTTTGAGGAAATAATTAAAAGAAAGTAAAGCTCTCAGACACCTAGACCGTTAACTTAAAAGTTACCTAGAGCTAAGGGTGCCTGTGAGCACGGCTATTTAACACTGCGCTATCAGTCACAGTCACCTGAAAAAGAGAATCAAATGTGTAAGGACTGGAACCCCAAATACACACACCAGAATGAGTAAGAGCTGATAGTGACTGTATGTCTAGAATCCAGGAGAATCGAGGTGTTTAGGATGCCTGGATGCAGCAAAGTTGGAGGAGATGGGAAATCAACAGCATTGCTGTGCAAAGGAAAAAAGAAAACAAAAACACCTACTTTGTTTTATTTTTAAATAACAGCAAAAGAAAACCCATAGGACAGCTAAGGCTTAGTCTAACAAGTGGTATTTATCATTGGCTTTGAAACACGGCACCATTTTGTAGGAGTAAGATCAAAAATGGCAAGAGGAGGATATATGGCTGAGAAAGTTCCCTATCACTGCTGGGAAATGCCAAGTCTCCCCTTAGACAAGCTGACTGCAACATCTGGACAGATGAGTAAGGGGCCAAGAGAACTTAGGTAAGAAAATCAATGAGGGGGATGAAATGCCCAATGAGGACAGCCTTTTAGGAATTAAAGCAGTGCGGTGTAGCACAGGGAAGGGCAGACAGATCAGGAAGAATGAGCGGTGCCTAACAGCCTACTCGTGTGGACACCAGGCCACACACCCAATCTGCACCATCAACGCTGGAGGATAAAGGGGAATTCCATGGATGACACTGCACTTACCTGCTACCCACACATAAAAGTAAAGCCCCAAAGACTGAAAACTTCAAAGTGAAAGTCAAGACTACCATTTTTACAAGAAAGTAAAATATTTTTATGGCATTAATTAGAGAAGGATCTCTTAAACAACTCAAAAGATCAGCAGATTTCATTTAATCATATCTCCTAGCATATGGCAGGTTTTTGTTTTTTTTTAATCTAAGTAAAAAGAGATACTGGAAAAAGAATTTTTGCATTGTATATAACAAAAAAATGTAATTAATACCCAGAATATATATGAACAACTCCTACAAATGTATAAGAAAAATTCAAATTGCAATGAAAAAAATCAGAAAACATAAACAGGCCATTCAGAGGAGGGCCAAAACCACATGAAGATTCTCAATGATGCTGATGTTCAGAAAAAGGCAAATTAAAGTGAGACACCACTTTGTACCCATACAACTGGCCAACAGTGGGAACTTCTGATAACATCTCCAGCTGGAAGACTGAGAAGACTCACAGTGCTGCAGAGAGTGTAAGCTGAGAAAAATGCTTTGTAAAGAACCTTTTCAGTGCCTCAATCCACATCAGCAGTCAAGAGGAAACAGATGGTTCACTGGGAGTGCCCAGCCCATGAATACCTAACACATAAACCCAGCACAGAGCAGCATCAAAGGAGATGGATGGGGCTTACCTAGAGCTAGAGAATTGAAAGGTGGCCTGTGGCAGGGATACAGGGAAACTGAGGCTGGTAGGGGAATACTGACAAAGGACCATGGGAAGTTAGCCTGGTGGGAAACTGATTTTCAAACTGTGGTCAGCTGACACTATCTCCTAGATGTGTGTCAGGGGTCACTGCAGCAGGGGCTAGGGGGTAGCTTCCTACCTCTGGGGTTTTAAATAAGTTTGAAAGAATAGAAGGATCCTAAGATCCTTCAGGGATAAAAAACATGTTTTGTTCCAGGTGGCAGGACAAAAGACTGTTTGTATCGGAAGTCTCTGATCTCTGATACAGATGTGCTTACCAGTCATTAACTCCATCTTGGTATACAGAGTGCAGCACATATCAAGAGAAGAGAACATACTTGTGTACTTATCATGTTTCTGGTACTAGGTTTGCGTAATTAGCTTATTTACAGCTCAGGAGAGAAACAGGTACAGAGAGATTAATTAAACATTTTTGTGACCCATGGAACATACAGTATCCACCTACATTTTGAGAAGCTGATAAAAAACTAAAAAAAACAAACTCACTGCCATTGAGTTGAGAAGCTGATAGTTTTTTTTTTTTTTTTTTTTTTTTTTACTTTTTAGTGTGCTTTGGGTGAAAGTTTACAGAGCAAATTCACTACAAATTCCATACAGCAGCTCACATATACTTTGTCCCATGACATTGACTGCAATTTCCCACAATGCAACAGCTCCCCTATTACTTTCTCCCCATAGTTACCTCTACCCTGTGCCCTTCCCTCCTATGCACTCCTGCCGCCTCCCCCCCAGATGTCTCCCTGTGCATACACAGGCCTCCTACTCTCCCATGATTGATCTCTCCAAGGAGTGTATCTACCGAATGTCAATGTTCAGCTTGTATGCCTGTCTTTTGTTTGCTACTAGCCCATTTCTAATGCATGCTGCCATCTGATGGGGGCCTGTATAAGGGTATGAATCTGAAGAAATGGGCATCATCCCACCAACCTCAGGACATACATGTCCCAATAATTGAATCAAAATCTGTTATTACCTAAAATTGTTCTTGTCATTTCATTCAAGATACCTTCCATTACTAAAAACCCATGGTTTCAACAAAAAAGTCAAAGCAGAAAATAATTTAAGGGTAAACTCTTAAACTATTAGACAGATAGCAAATAGAAAATCCAGGATTTAAACCTAATTCTAACTGACTTAAAATCCTTTCTACCCTGTTAAAATGGAGTAACTTGATAACCAATTTGTAAATAATTCTCCAAATCAAGTTACATATACAAACCAATGGGGGGAAAGAAAACACATCAAAGGCTTTGTAAACTGGTATTAAAGTATTCCAACTACAAAATCATTCCTCATACATCAAAGTATTTAGCTATCTCCCTACTTTGAACTATGGTTGATTCCTGTCTCTATTGTCTTTCTTAAAGACTTCTTTGCATACCTATACATTTCATCTACTAGGCCAGGCATGACAAGTTGAAGGGGAATGGCATTGTATTCATCATCCAAAAAAAAAAAAAAACCCAACATTTCAAGATGTTTCAGATGCTTTCATCCATACACCTATACGGATTAAAATTTATGTAATAACCACCAAAGCCAAAGTACAAAGAAATTGAAGATTTTTACCAACTTCTGCAGTCTGAAATTGACCAAACATGCAACCAAGATGTAATTGATTATTACTGGTGACTGGAATTATGGATTATTGCTGGTGAAAGTTGGAAACAAAAAAGGTAAGTAGTTGGAAAATATGGCCTTTGGTGATAGAAATGATGCCAAAGATCATATGACAGAATTTTGCAAGACCAGCAACTTATTCATTGCAAATGCTTATTTTTTCAACAACATAAATGGTGGCAGTTATACACACAGACTTCGTCAAATGGAACACACAGAAATCAAATCCACTACCTCTGTGGAAAGAAGTTTAATATCAGTCAAAACAAGACCAGGAGCTGACTGTAGAACCAACCATCAACTGTTCCTATGCAAGTTCAAGTTGAAGCTGAAGACAATTAAAACAAGTCCACGAGAGCCAAAATATGACTTTGAGTATATTCCCCCTGAATTTAGAGACCATCTGAAGAACAGATTTGATGCAGTAAATACCAATGACTGCAGACCAGTTGGGTTGTGAGATGACATCAAGAATATCAAACATGAAGATATTAAAAGATCACAAAAAAGACAGGAAAGGAAGAAAAAAACAAAATGTTAGTCAGAAGAGACTGTGAAACTTGCTCTTGAACAGAGAGTAGCTAAAGCAAAAGGAAGAAATGACAAGATGAAAGAGCTGAACAGAAGATTTCAAAGACCAGCTTCACAGGACAAGGTCAATTATTATAATGAAATGTGAAAAGACCTGGAGTTAGAAAACCAAAAGGGAAGAAAACGCTCGATATTTCTCAAACTGAAAAAACTGAAGAAAAAATTCAAGCCTTGAGTTGCAATATTGAAGGATTTTATTGGTAAAATATTGAACAATGCAGGAAGCATCAAAAGAAGATGGAATACACAGATTCACTGTACTAAAAGGAATTGACTGATGTTCATCCATTTCAAGAGGTGGCATATGATCAAGAACTGATGGTACTGAAGGGAGAAGTCAAAGCTGTGCTGAAGGAATTGGTGAAAAACAAGGCTCCAGGAATTGACAGAATACCCATTGAGATTTTTCAACAGATGCAGCACTGGAGGCACTCACTCGTCTGTGCCAAGTAATTTGGAAGATGACTACCTGGCCAACTGAAGAGATCCATATTTGTGTCTGTTCCAAAGAAAGGGGATCCAACTAAACATGGAAATTATCAAACAATATCATTCAAAGAACATGCAAGTAAAATCTTGCTGAAGATAATTTAGAAATGGTTACACCAGTATATTGAAAAGAACGTCCAGAAATGCAAGCTGGATTCAGAAAATGATGTGGAATGAGGGACATCACTGTTGATGTCAGATGGATTGTGACTGAAAGCAGACAACACCAGAAA